TTGGTTCTCGGGTCAGCAGTGTGACGCTGCCTCGCAGGATGGAAGGTTTGAGGCGGGCGTGTCTGAGAGGCCGAGCCGCACTGCAGAGGCTGCGAGGCCGGTGCCCTGGGCAGGCCAGCAGGTTGGGGCGCGGGAGAGGGGCCGCGCTGGCCCCCGCAGCCGCCGCGTCCAGCTGCCACGTCCAGGACATGCCAGCCACAGCCCCTCCGTGTCCCACCGCAGTGTCTGCCTTCCGGAGCCGCCCGGGACACCGGAGCCCGGACCTCCCCGAGGTGGGTCCCTCGGGCACGCCCCTTCCCGGAGGCGGCTGCTCTGGCCGGAGCGCCTCACTCCTCCGCTTGCTTTTTCTCTGATCCGTTTCTCCAAGAATCTGGAGGCCGCTCGTTTCTAGAAAACATTTGCAGAGCTCGGTGCTCCACGCGGCACCTCAGCAGCCCCTTGGCAGGCATGGTGGCGGCGGCTCTGCCGAGAGCCCCCCGCCTGGCCACTCAGGCGGCTCTGAGTTTGGGGCTCGGCTCTGGGTTTGGGGTCTTGGCTCTGGGTTTGGGGTCTTGGCTCTGAGTTTGGGGTCTTGGCTCTGAGTTTGGGGTCATGGCTCTGAGCTTGGGGCTCGGCTCTGAGTTTGGGGCTCGGCTCTGAGTTTGGGGCTCGGCTCTGAGCTTGGGGTCTTGGCTCTGGGTTTGGGGTCTTAGCTCTGAGCTTGGGGCTCGGCTCTGGGTTTGGGGCTCGGCTCTGGGTTTGGGGCTCGGCTCTGGGTTTGGGCTCGCCAGGCGTGCACCCTCAGGAAGAGAAGTGGGTGCTGTGGGGGGCACGTCTGGAAGCCTGCCCGGAGAGCAGTGGCCTTACCTGTCGGGACGAGGCCGCACGTCACGCCGTGGGGACGTGGTCTGTCACCATCCTTGGCTGCTCCTGTTTGAAAAAGAGGCAAAGGGCGCGGTGCTGCTGACCGTCAGCCGCGGGGTCTCTGCCGGCTGCAGGGATGTCCTCAGAAGCCCAGCGCGGGCGGGCGGGCGGCTCGTAGCCCTGTTGTCTCTGCCGCGGGAAGTACAGTGGGGCCTTGACTTACGAGTGTCCCGACTAATGAGTTTTTCGAGATACGAGCGTCTCTCAGCCGATTTTTTGCTTTGAGTTGTGAGCTAAAATTCGGGTTACGAGCCAGCTTCAGATACCCCACCGCTAGTTGGCGCAGCGAACGTCACAGTGAACGCCACAACATCAGCTCAGCATCACTTCTTGATTTGACATACGAGTAATTTGAGTTACGAGCTCCGTCATGAAATGAATTAAACTCGTAAGTCAAGGCCCCACTGTAGTTCCCTACAAAAGCAGGCGCGTCTTAGCTCAGCAGGAGGCGGGGCTCTGGTGCATGGAAGTGAACGCAGATCTGGTAGCAGTTAGAGCGGCTGCAGCCGCCCAGGACGGACGGACAGACTGCAGGTGGCCTGGGCCGGGCTGAGTCATGGCAGTGGCTTATGGAACCTGGACACATTTTTTAAATTCGTTCTCCAGGATAGTTCTCTGAGCATAAGGTCCGTTGAGCTGAGCCATGCACACCCGCTAGTCAGACACGAGGGGACTCTCCTGTGTCCCGGCCTCTGTGCCCCAGAATGGACCCCGTGATCCCAGGGCAGCCCTCGGCGAGGCCCAGGAACTCGCCCAAGGCCACACGCTGTGGTCAGGCCCAGTTCAAGCCCAGACGGGTGATGCCAGGAAGGCTGGAGGGGAGTGGACACAGGCAGCGGAGCCACTGACGGAAAAGGCCGCCAGCTTAGCACAGGGAGGCCCGGGCCAGGCCCGCCTCCCAGGGAAGAGCCCTGTTGCTGCCCACGGGGCCCGGGAGGTCCTGGAGGGGGAGCAGGGGAGCGGGGAGGCAAGAGCAAGGAGGAGGGAGCCCCGCAGGGTGGCTCGTTCTGCCGTGCATCTCAGTTCTGTCTTGATTTCGTGAACATTTTTATTTTATTTTTTGAAATACATTTTTATTGATTTCAGAGAGGAAGTGAGAGGGA